CACCAGACCTGCTTCCCCCCATGTTTGCCTTGTTTGGACACACTTCTGTCAGCTCCAGCATCAGTCAGGAAGCTTTCTAGTAGTGTTTAGGCCAATTTTTAGATATTGCTGTTGAAAAATTGCTTGGCCCAGGGTCCAGAGAGAAAACAATCACTATTTCAAAAATAGTGTGCAGCCTACTTGATTGACTTTTCCCAGTTTTTCCTAGTTGATTGGTTTTTCCCAACATACACTTATTGGAAGAAACCAATAGCTGAGCACAGAGTCACAGTAGTGCCTGGCATATGGGTTGTCTTACCTTACCAGAGATGCCTCGGCTCTGAAACCTCTACCACTTCAGCTTGTCTGGAGGCCAGGCATTAACAGAGCACTTCTGAACAGGAACGCAACAATGCCATTCCTTTCTCTGTCATTCCTTTCTCAGCAAGTACATTTTCCCACTCCCCCTTACTTCTTTGGGGTGTTAGTTGTTACCTTTTAATCAATGCTTATATGCCTTGGACCAAATAATATTTAAAGAACGGAGCTGTTCATCCTAATTAGTTCTTCATCCACATTTAGGAGAGAGAATTATTTTGATTGCTTTCAATAAAGAACTTTTTTTGGGGGGGGCCCAGTCGTGGGGCCTGAACTCTGGGCCTGGGCACTGTCCCTCAGCTCTTCAGCTGAAGGCTAGCGCTCTACCACTTGAGCCACAGCACCATTTCCGGCTTCTTTTTTCCTGCTTATGTGGTGCTAAAGAATGGAACCCAGGGCCTCAGGCATGCAAGGCAAGTGCTCTACCACTGAGCCACCTTCCCAACCCATTTTGATTGCTTTCAAACTCGATACAAGACCCTATGAATTGAAGTCCTGATCACTTCTGTGACTCAGGCACATGAGATGGAGGCTATTTCTCCATTATTGCATTCTTTTGTTTTGTGTCACCTTCTTCTGGCCAATTTGTGCTCATCCTTCAAGTAAGAGTTATCCTTGCTCTAGACTGGCTTATGGGCCTGACACTGGCCTTCAAAGTACTCTGAATATCTGCTTGGAGACAGTGGATTTTGGTAAGATGTACGCCATTGGTAGCTGGCTTCTTCCTCTGAACTGTGCGCTTCCCAGGGCAGGGAGCTTCAGGGTAGTACACAGATTACATTAAAACCTTCCAGAATCTACACTGACAGACACCAGAGGAAGAGGATTCTATGTCCACACGTACACTATTTCTTGGGGTTTCCTTAGATACAAAAATTTTATGGTAGCAATATTATTTCAGCAGTAATAAAATATAATTAGCACTATAGTATATAATTAAAATACTTTCTTAATTATTAACCACAAAATCAAACCTACTTATTTGTACTTTTAATTTATTTAGTGTATCAATACAGGAGCTTGAACTTGGTGTCTCACATTTATCCAGCTTGTTTGCTCATGTGTAGCACTCTTATCAATTGAGCCTTGCCTCTAGCTCTGCTTTTTTACTGGTCAATTTTTAGTTTTATTTTGTGCTGGTTCTGGGGCTTGAACTCAGGGCCAGGGTGCTCTCCCTTAGCTTCTTTGCTCAAGGCTGATACTCAAGCACTTGAACCATGCATCTACTTCCAGTTTTTTGCTGGTTAATTGGAAATTACAGTCTCATGGACTTTCTTTTTTAAACCTGGTCTGGCTATTAGTCTACTGAATAGCTAGGATTACAGGTATGAGCCATTGGAACTCAGCTATGGCTGTTTACTTTGGAGTGGATATCTTGAGGACTTTTCTGCCCAAGCTAGCTTCAAAGTGTGATCCTGTGAATCTCATCTCCTGCATAGTTAGGATTACAGGTGAGGGCCTCCAGTGCCAGCTATTTCCAGGTTACCTTTTGATTATATATGATACATGGTAAGAAAAATTGTGTAGTTCTAGAGATGTGGCAAAATGTACTGACACATTTCCATACAGTGAGAGACTCACTCTCCTTAGATTGTTATATATAACAGATGGCAGAGATGGGCTGAAACCTGAACATAGTAGAGTTTCTCTACAAAGAACATTCTGTAAATTTCTCTTAGATCTCATTGTAAGTACATTTTCCTCCACTAGCTGACATTTTAAATGAATCATTACTATATGCTAGATAGAATTTTAGCATTAATGACATATTACATGATTTAATCCCTTGTAAGGTTGATATTGCCATGACTCCACTTTAGAGATAAAGAAATTGAGAGTCGGGGAGTTTAGGTGACTTGCCCAAGGCTTACAGAAAGGGCACATGTTCCACAGCACAACTGAAAGAGAATCTAGCTGAACCTTAAAAACATAACCATTTGAAAGATTACTAGATTCTCCCAGGACAAAAACTACCTGTGGTAAGAGAAACAGCAAGAATAATTGCAGAACAGGACTTTTCTTTCATTGAACTGGATATTTCCTCAAGCTTGGCTATGGTCACACAGCTAAGGAACGAATCTTATATAATTCAATGATAAGACAAAGGCAATAGATAAGGGTTTCAGTTCTCATTGTATAGGTTGTATAGATTCAAATCTTCCTCCCCTGATAATTGCTCCCAAACACACTGGAATTCCCTGGAAGGGCAGCATGGCAGACAGGGCAGAGGTCTTAAAAAGTGACAGAATTTTCTAACAGGATGTTCCATTCATATTCTTCCCATTGCTCCTTCCCATTTTTTCCTGCTTCATTTTCTAAAATATAGTATTTGCACCTTTTCCTTCACATCTTCTTTCTTCATACAACTAACACAACATTTTTTAAATTTTGTGTTGGTACTGGGGCTTGACCTCAGAGACTGAGTACTCAACCTTTTCTTTCAAGACTGGCAAGCTACTACTTGAGCCATACCTCCACTTCTGACTTTTTGGTGGTTAATTGAAGATCAGAGTGTCACATACTTTCTTCTCTATGCTGGCTTAGAACCATGTTCCTCTTAGCATCCTGAGTATTAGGATTATAAGCATGAACTACTGGCGCCTGGCTATTACATTTTATTTTAGTAAATAACTCTTCTTTCTTTTCCCATACCAGGCTTTTAACTCAGGGCCTTTTGTTTGCTTGACTCAAGCACTTGAGCCACTGCTTCACTCCTGACTTTTACTGGTTAATTGGTGATAATCTCATGGACTTTTCTGTCTGGACTTGCTCTGAACTTCAATTCTCTGGATCTCAATCTCCTGAGTAGCTAGGATTACTGATGTGGGCTACTAGTACCTGGCAAAGTTAAAACCAATCTTAATGAATTGTCAATCATTATATGCTTAAAGTGATTATAAAATACTTCAGTTTGTAGAAATAAATCAAAAGTATCCAGGAGATCCAAGTGGGAAATGATTTTTTGCATATTTTCAAATATGCATAGCTTATAGTTTGCTATAGAAATAGCAAGGTAGGTATTTTTAAATAGTCCATGAAAAATTGGACTCAGCTAATTTTTTGAATTATTATTTGGGCCTATAACTAATCTTTTTGACATTAACATCTTTAATAAACATGTGAGCAATATCTGAATTCAGAATATTGGATAGAACTAAGACATCATCTCTATTCATTAAGCTTCTATTTTCTCAATAACCTAATTTTGTCTTTCATAAGATATTAATGCTTTTGAAGTCTTACTCTTAATCCCATTAATTCCTAAACTACCCTTTAAAAGTGCATGAGGCAATATGCAAAGGCAGTCAATTTCACTGAATTATACATTGAATTGGCAAAGGTAAATCCAAGAATTCCGGGGTTGCTAAAATGCAGAACTTCATCTGAAAAATATTTTCTGAACTGAAATCACCCTCCAGGGACATGGTTTGGATTAGTTTCCTTGGCTTCGTAGTCTTCTCAAATGAGCTCACTGGCCACATACCAGAATTTGCACGTGAACTGAGCAAGATGTATCTGTCTATGTCGTACTCTTAATATGTGGCAGTGCCTTGGCCAACATTAGCCTCATGTGCAGTGAAGTCTTTGCTAATGAGGACTGGGAAGAGAGCCCAACCCAAAGCAGGTGGCATCTGAGGTGGGACTTGAAGCATTGTGAGTGGACCCACAAGAGGTAAAAGAGCAGAGTTTGAAGCTCACAGGCTCGAAGTGGAGATAGGAACCAGTATTAAAAGTACTGTAATTTTAGACAAGATATTTCTGAATTGTAAGTTAATTATGTAAACATGAACCAAAAACATACTGTGAGGTTTAAAAAGCCACTGTCAAGGCTACAGGAGTGGCTCAAGTAGTAGAACATCAGACATGAGCTCAGTGACATGCTCTGAAACCTGAGTGGAAGGCCCTGAGTTCAATCTCTATAACCAGAATAAAACAAGCTACATGTCTACATAGTTTGATTTTTATCTTGGGTTATCATACTGTTTCACCTTCAGCAATAACTATAAGCTAATTTTCATAACATAAAAAATCTAACCTTCCTACACTGCCTTCTGGACACCCATGCACACCCTCACGCAATGATGTGCTTATCTGAGTCAGACTCCTTCAAGTCAATGAGTTCCCCTCAGTCTGAGTGACCTTCCAACAAAACTGACTAATGGCAGAGGCCGTGAAAGGGGTGGGCCCTGCAGTTTATATTTAGTTGGAGACTATCATGTTCCCAGAAATGTCTTGACAGCTGCCCACAGGAGAGCCCAGGAGCGTGGCGCGCTGTCTGGGATGGCAGGACAATAGCAGCTGGCAGGGCCATGATAAGAGCCAGCCCCTGCCTTCGAATCTTTACCACATGACATTAATGGCTGTTCTAAAATTGCTTTAATTGGGCATTTTCTTCCTGAGATGTCTACAAAATGAGGGACGAGCATTGTAGTTAATTAGAGGGAAAGCCAAGGAAGGTGAGGAACAGGGAGAGAAGAGAGCCTGGTAGGTAGGCTCTATGCTAGTTTTAGTGAATGCCTTGCTACTAAGTCTCACCAGCAGCTGGAACCGGGTTCATCAACGAGCCACCAGCTCTCCTCTGGATCTCCAGGTACCTGTGGCTTGCTGCGTGTGTAAAAGCCCAGTGCCTAGGGCGTGCTCACCTCATATTCCTCCTTGAAGCCATAGCCCTCAGCACACTTCATCTGTGTGATGTGTTGTAGGAGGTCTGCCACGCGGATGGCAGGATGAAGCTGCCCAGTCTGGTAGGGTACGTCTGCTGTCTCACGTTTCTTGTAAGTGTGGGACTGCACCAGGCTGCTGGTCTCACTGGCCATCGTGTGGGTCTCGTCTAGGAAAGAAAGCCAGGGAGAAAATGAGGGCAAACCAGTGGGCCAGACTGGGTCACAGAAAACTTAAACGGCTGCCTGAAACATTCTTCAATCTATGGCTGCACAATCCCAAGGGTGGCTCCGCCAAGAAAGAAAAGTTCTACATTTGGAACTCTAAATGGGGTTGGCAATACTGATAGGAATGAGGCAGAAATCTTTGCTTTTACAAAGCAGTCCAAACCATCTATTGTTTTGCAAAGCTCAATGATAAAAAGCCTTTTAGCTTTTTGCTGCTAAAGTTGGTAGAAGTTTCCATCTGAAACTTCATCAAGACCTGGTTCAGAACCAGGCTTGGAGACTTCCAAATATTTGTTCCCTTGTTTGTGTGATGAAGGAAATAAACTCAGTATGAATGTTCTGTGAGCAAATCAAAAGTGCACAGAATGGGTTGGCTTAGGAAGCTAGCAATGGGAATGGGGACTGGATAACACAAAATCAAAGAAGTAGGGGGGAAGGGAACCTGGTTTGGAGGAAAAGGTTTTGATGAGTCACTTTGCATGCTTGGGATCAGAAAGCTTGACAAAATACTGTGGACCAACACATCACACGTGGAATGTTCTACTACAGCAAACATGCAGGCCAGCTCAGGGCAGTACGCTGGCTCCACCAGAAGAGTCTACAGGTGAGACACACACTCCCACTCCCTCCAAAACTGCTCCATGGGGCAAAGTGGGAAACTTACCATTTATTGGCACTTTTAAGAAGGTACATATCAGGAGAAAAGAGGAGGAGAAAAAGGAAACAGGGCATAAGCAATAATACTGTGTGAATAGTTACAGGTATTTTTTTAAAAATTTTATGATTTCATTTTTTTCAAAAAGTTTCTATTCAGAGGAGATCAGAGGGCAAAGCCTCAATGTCTCTCATCATCTTAGGATGGAGGTATTAGATTTAAGTACTCAATGACAAGGAGGTTAAGGTTAATATCAGACTTGCTTTTCATTCCCCATGAACCGAATAATGACTAAATAAAGCTTATTTGTATTCAACACATTTTCTCATTCAAATTTCTTGGACAACTCAACCAAATTGTGGTAGAAAATTAAATGTCAGAATTTGGTCAAATACGCCTAAAGAGGCTGTATTTTAATGGGTGACAACGTGTAAATTAGATTAATGAACTGTAGAAATGGTAGATATTTAAAAAATGTCTGTGGCAGGAAAGTGCTATTTGATTAAGAATTTCATATTCGACAGGTTAAATTCACTACAATGCTGAATCCCTTTAGTTCTTTTATGATTGAGGGTGGCTTTCATCAAAATATAATGCTGAAATCAGCTAAAAGAAGCATATGCTATCCAAATTAATCTTACATATAAAAATTAAAATATTAGAAATAGTGTGTTCAATGTTGGCAAATTACCAGATGATATATCAAGAAGGAATTCAGCTAGAGTTATTTTTGATTTTTTTTAAAACTTTTGTACTCAGAGGTTCAGCTCCAAAGAAAATTTAGCCTTAGGATGCTTGGTGAGCTGGGCTTGTCCCGGACCCTCACTTCTGTCTGCATTGCAAAGCCCCTGGGGATGCATGGTATGAAAGGTGGCACACAGGTGTGTAGCTATGTTGCTGTTGCTGAAATGGCACCTGGATCACTACAAGGCGGCTAAAGACACAAAGACAAAATAAAAGAGGGTGGTAAGTTGACTTTATGATTTTTTTCATATGGATTTGCTTTGAAATTTAAATGTATGTTCCCATTTTAATAGTCACAAAGACACCTGAAAATTTTGCACACTAGATGTACTGTTTGGCAAGTGCCAAGTTCTAGCAACTGATATACAGGAGCTATACTAAAGTACTAAAATTGACTGGGCTTTTGATTCCTCCAGCAGGAAGTTCTGTTCTTTATACTAAAATAAATGGAACATTAATTAGTTTCCCCTCTGTGCCTCTCTTATTCTCTTAAGTGTTATATCTTGTGGGAGGAACATAATTAATTTGTCCTTCATTCTTGGCTAGACTTCTAAACTTTACCTAAGTGATATAGGCCTTTCAAGTGGATTCATCAGCAACCTGGTAACACTCTGATCCCAGGCCTTAGGTGTTTCTGAAGTTTCAAATCTACAGGGCTACAGCTGCGGTCACTGCTCTATACAACTTTCTGCACTGAATCATGACACACTTGGCCTCCTTTCCACTCAACCACTGCAAGTCCACCCAGAAGAGAATGTTCTTAGCTAGTATGAACATACTAGATTTCTTTTAGGAAACTAGGTTACCTCTTGGACCAGAAATTTGTGACTCCTTAGTTGGTTGCTGGTAGTTTACTCCTCTGATCCTTGCTATTCAGGAGAAGGAAATATGAAGGACTAACGTTCAAGGCTAGGCCAGGCCAGACAAAAAGTCCACTAGTTTTCCATCTCCAAAATAAGCAGCATAGGGCTGGGAAAGTGGCTCAGTGGTAGAGTGCCTACTTTGCATGTATAAGGCTCTGGGTGCGATGCTTCAGCACCACATAAACAGAAAAAGCCGGAAGTGGTGCTGTGGCTCAAGTGGTAGAGTACTAGCCTTGAACTGAAGAACTGTGGGACAGTGCCCAGACCCAGAGTTCAAGCCCCATGACTGACCAAAAAAAAAAAAACAACAACAAAGAAAAAAGCAGCATAAAGCTGAACTGGAACAGTTGCTCAAGTGGTACAATGCTAGCCAAGAAAGCATGTGGCCCTGAGTTCAAATACCAGTATAAACAAACAAACAAAAAGAAAAAAAAGAAACAAATTCCTGACTACACAAAATGGGTAATTCATAAGTTTCCTCTGACTTCTTAATAAGGGTATATTGTTAACAAACCATATCACTTGTTATACATCTCCTACGTTTGTTTAAAAATTACCCACTAATATCTTAAACTGAAAATAATGCCTTAGAAGAGGTAAAAAGAAACAAAGTGTCTCAATAACAGTTGGATAATTTTCTTAGCACTGAAAATTAATTCTATACTCTATATTCATGAATGCATTATTTTGAAATTTTTAAGAAATCAGTTGAAAAATATTGAATTGGAACTATTTTTGTGATGGGAGAGGATCTATCTATGCATCAATCATCTATCTACCTATTATCTACTTTATATATCTAATCTAGCCACCCAAGCAATCTGTCAGTCAAGCAATCAATCTATTTAGCTTTGCAAGAAAATGAGGTAAAGACATAATTACACTCTATGTGAGGGCTGGACATCTTGGCAAGTGAGAACAAAAGGCTAACGTACTAGAGAATTTAGTTGTGCTCAACTCTAATTTGAAACAAAACATTTCTTCTTGTCTCAATGTAAATTGTACATAGACTATCCTCCTAAATACTAGAATAGGCATATGAATTATCTTCTTTCCATGGTTTCAATAATCTTAGTATTCTTATTAAGCAACATATACATTTCCATTAGCAGCATTAATGGGTGTGAATATTCCTAAGTAGTACTGTTGGTACCTATATTAACCATGCATGAGAATACTGATTTGTACATTTGGATGACTAATTTTTTTATGTAGTGTATCATTTTTGTGACTTGAATTGTCTGTTCAAGTGTCTCAGAAAAGAAGACAAACCAACTTTAAACGATGCCATTAGTGTTTATAATAACAAGCAGCAGTTTAAGAAAAAATGATATTTGTTTAATAAGCTTTTCTCAATCCTGCTGTGAAATCTGAACATTTTCTTCTGTCTGACAATGCAAGTCTCAGCCCTCTCTGCTCTTTGCTCTCCCAAGCAAGAGCGCATCTACAGAGAAACCTGGGAAAGAATGCCACAGCATACACAGAAAATCATAACCTCCTATCCATCAATTCTGTGAATGCCATTTGCATGTAGATATAATGTTCGGGCTCCTGTGTTCCTCATTTGTGAAAAAAAATAAAAAGATTTCTCCTTAAACTTGGCATTTAAAAAATGTGTGTGTGTGTGTGTGTGTGTGTGTGTGTGTGTGTGTGTGTGTGTGTGCAAGTGCACATGCATGCTTTAGGAGGCTTTATTAGTCCTCAAAATAAGAGCCCCAATTTGGTTTTATTCTTAAACTTTGTCATAGTTCATTTCCCCCCTCCTCAGGCAACAAACTTGCTTCTGCCCAGACAACGTCATAAGGGAAATAAAAATTAGCTTCTGCTCAGAAATCATAACAAGTGAGAGAAAAGAGAAACACAGTGGAGGGGATTATGCTGTGAGGACATAAGCCCTGGCAAAGAGAATTAGGAAGAGGAAGTTGAACGATTGAGGATGGAGCTCTTGCTATAATGAATTGTTATATACCTGGAAGTCCTTTTTGTTGTGCTCCTTTCCGGGAAGGTTAGTAGTAGAAAGAGAACACAGCCAGGACACACTTGGGTTACTTATGCGTCTCAAATGCAACAGCAGCTCATGCTCGTTTGCTTATCAGTCAGGTAATGCCATTTCTCCTCACCCTTCTTACACTGCACAAGCGGGAGGGTTTGTTTCCCTGTTACCCCCTGCTGAAAATATTTCATACTTTAAATGCATTCTGCCCCACTGGGCTAACATCTTAGTTCATTTCTAGTGACATCTGACACATAATAAACCACAGGATGACAAAGTGCCATCGTGTCATTCTGCGATTCAGAACATCAGCTCTGCTAACATTCTGCTGTGTGACAGACTCTGGGGGATGCTGGGGGTTGCCCTGGGCGGATGGGTAGGGGGCCTAAACTCTATTGTGATTGCTGCTCTGTACAACAGTGGGCATCATTAGAAAAATGCTGTTTTAGAAATTGGCATTTTTAGTGCTTAGCAATAAGTGAAAATAATGAGAAGCTATTTTCACTTTTATGACTATCACATTGGACAGAATTTAGCTTTTGGAAGTACACAGCTGAGTGATGACATGTCATTTTTCTTCCCCTGGGATCGGAACTGACATCAAACCCTGAATATAGACAAGAACACTATTGGAGCTGCAACTGTTCCCTTGTGTCTTTTGATACCATCCCTACATACACGCAGCCAACCCTTCTTATCAATGGAGACTGCTCAGAGAAAGTCTTTTTGTCATCTCCCCTTCCCCATGCTCAAGTTTCCTCTCCCCTCCCAAGTTCCCCTTCTAATCACTGCATCATGCAGAATTAGAACTGCAGCCTCCTGAGAATAGTCCCTGACTATCTCAATCACTCTTGCAATTAACTGTGGTAAAGTGAAATGTTCTCACCTAAAATTGCAGTTGGCACAAATGGGTCTGTCATACATCGTAAGCAGGGCAGTGCAGAGAAAGTGAAAAAAGAGAAAGAACAGTAAATGATTGATGAAAGGCCCATCAATTTCCCCCATGAAAGCCAGAGGAAGCCCTGGCTCACAACTTATGGAACAAAGTAAGCCCCTAGAGCATGAGGTAGCACAAGGTGCTGGCAGTTCTGACTGCCAAAGGGTAGCAAAGGAAGATAAAATGGAGAACTCTGTTACCTGGGTAGTAGGAATTAGGCACCGACGTGCTCAGTGTGTTAGTTTTCATTGTAAATGATGATGGTGAAGACACAGCTGTAAATAAAAGAAAAGGCTGGTCAAAGGCTGTAGCGAGGGTTTGAGATCCTACATTACCCACACTGCTCTATGTGATGCCAACTGTTTGAATAAAGCAAATTCTGACATTCACTGAAGTCTACATGGCAAAGACTTTCATTCCCAGCTGACGCTAGGTAGCTATTTGCCCTTCTAAAGGACAACATACTTATATCACTTAAAGACTTGTCTTACCCTGAAAGGAAAAAAAACAAAAACAAAAGAAAAAAAACAGAGCAACACACTGGTGCTGATGGCTCATGCCTGTATTCCGACTCAGGAGATTGAGGTCTGAGGATCACGGTGCAAAGCTAGCTTGGGCAGGAAAGTCTGTGGGACTCTTAGGTCCATTAACTACCAGAGAAAACTGGAAGTGTTACTGTGGCTCAAAGTGGTAGAGCGTTAATCTTGAGCAAAAGAGCTCAGAGATAGTGCGCAGGCCCTGGGTTCAAGTCACACAACTGACAAAAAAAAAAAAACAAAAACAAAGCCACCATCAACAAAACAAAATAGAGCAACAACAACAACAAAAACCCCACAACCACAGTCACTACTTTGACAAAATCAACAGACTTCTGTTTGGCTTCTAGCCCTTTTATATAATTCTGCTATCACAGTGAGTTGAAGTATACAAATCAAAGTACTGAAAGGAGTCTTCATGGCTTCTTAAGAATAGTGAGAGCCAGGTGCCGGTGGCTCACGCCTGTAATCCTAGCTACTCAGGAGGCTGAGATCTGAGGATCGTGGTTCGAAGCCAGACCAGGCAAGAAAATCCATGACACTCATCTCCAATTAACCACCAGAATTCTGGAAGTGGCACTGTGGCTCAAGTGGCAGTGTGCTTGCCTTGAGCTGAAGAGCTCAGGGGCAGCGCCCAGGCCCAGAGTGCAAGCCCCATGATTGACAAAAAAAAAAAAAAAAAGAATAGTGAGAATGTTGGGCACACCTGTAATCCCAGCTACTCAGGAGGCTGAGATCTGAGGATTTCAGTGAGAATCTTATCTCCAATTAACTATAAAAAACCCAGAAGTGGAGATGTGGTAGAATGCTAGCCTTGGGTAGCAAATGGTATAGCATTAGCCTTGGGCAAACTAAGAGACAGTGTCCAAGGCCTGAGTTTAAGTTCTAGTCCTGGCACAATGAGAAAAAAAAGAAAGAAAGAAAAAGAATGGAAATAAATAAACTGGAATTCCACTGTGTTTATAAGTTTGTCAAAATCCTCTCCTTCCTCATATCTTGGAAATACACAGAGCTCTCCATACTGCTATGATCTGGATTAGGAAAAATAAAGGCTGTGTGTCCTCTATTGAATGTTTCCCATATTGCTCTTTTTTAAAAAAAAGTGCTTATATTTCTTCTAAATATTCCTCTATTAACTCAGCACCATCATATGTCTCTTTCTCCTAATAAGGAAAGTCTATTCCAAGGAATTAGATGGTTCTATTAGAAGCAAGTATTTCTTTTTTATATACTTCTTATTTTTAAGGTAGCATGTCATGTCTTTTCAGTATCTTTAATTGATTTTCTATAGAAACACTTCTCTGAGGGCTCAAGGTAGTTAAACACTGTGACCATATTCCTGGTTTACGCTTACATGATTTGATGCCAAGTTCCCATCATATTACCAATACACAATGCTATTGCTGTATTTATAGGAACATTCTGAATCTTATGGATATTGCATGTTGTAATTATTCTGATGGCATGCTAACATGCTTTAGCTTGAAAAACAGTACCTGTAGGACAATGCATTGTCGGTGTGTAGGTGTTTTAAAAATAAAATTAGTACACAAGAGAACCAGGGGCTCAGGCTGCCTGCCATTCTATGTGATGCTTTTTCAAAAATACAGAAGGGTCACATTAGTGATGCATGGTGGTGGCAAGCTACCAGAACCAGAGAGCAATTGATGAAAATAAGAACTAAAATATTTTGCACTTGTAAACTCTGCTAGGTCACATGAGACTAATCCTGCTTTATTACTTGAGGGTATTTTTATGTGGTTGGTAAAAATGTGCAAGCCAAATACGAAATAGTTATATTTATTTTCACCTTACTGTTAAAGTATTTAAAAATGCATTTGTTTCTCAGTGTACAAATTAAACCCATTCCTACTGCCAAGATGCTATGTTCCCATTTTTATAGCATATTAAAGTAGAAGACACTACTCCTATTTGCTTTGGTGGGGAGATTACTCCCAACTGTCATAAATGTGTTCCTGCTTAATTTAAAATTTTCCAGGATCCCTTTTTCTCACTGTGTCATTTCTAAAAACAGCCCACCTAACAGTTTCTAGCTCTTTCTTCCCGCCCTAAAGGATCTCACATGTATGCAACTTACCATAGGGGTGGGGCTACCAGGGGTCTAATGAACATACTTCCTGAGAATTTTCATCCCATTGATAGAGTATTATGAAAAAGCTTAAGCTTTCAGGGCACTGCTGACGTTAGATGAGATGCATAAGACTTACTCATTGTAGACAGACTGGGAGAAAATGGAAAGGCACTTATTATGCTTTTGTTGCAGCCTGTATTGGATGTGAGAATCAAACAATGTCAAACTGCCAAACAGCAGATCAGCTACACAGGCTCATGTATGCTAGATTTTTGTACAAGTCCTTTGTATGTCAAGAGTTTTGCCTTTCCATAGATACACTTTAAAAGAAGTAGCTGCCAAATTAAACTTCCAATCCAGAGACACACATCCTCGGGCTCAAACTTCAAATGCCTCAAAACTACTGATGTACATCCCTGATCTAAGGATGGTTCATTTTTGAGTATATTTATGAGGTGAACTACCATGAAACAGAAAGTTTGGAACCTCAGTGGGTTATGTTAAAAGCAACAGCATGTATTTTTCTGAACTCTTCCCTCCTTTACTTTCCCTTCCCTCTCCCTGTTTACTTTTCTCCTTCTCCTCCTTCTTTCCTTTCTTATTCCTTCTCTTCTTCCTATCCTGCAAAAATTTCTAACTCTGTTCTTCCTCTCAGCAAAAATCCTAACCCTGTACTTACCTAAAAGGATTTTTGAGCTCTAGTCTAAAACAAATGCAAAAGACTGCTTTATTTTGGTACTATATATGGATTTTTAAGTGAAAAATAAAACATTTGCTATAAAAAAAGCAGTGAGAATCCTATGAAAAACTGGGAGTAGCTTGTGTGAAGCTGAGAAACCATAGCTTCATACCAACATTGAAACAGCATAGAAAGGCAGAGAATAGAAGCCAAGGAGGAAAATCAAGAGTGCTGTTTTCTCAGGGCATCAGAACAGCACCTGATGTTTGCAAGTCCACTGGGTTGAGTGTATATGAACACATAAATGTGGCAGGAAATGGCAGAATGAGTATAGCCACTATAAATGACAAAATGAAGGCCTAACTTCTCTGAAGCCAAGCAGAGTGTAGAAGACAAGCAAGGCTCATGAGCAGGCACCATGTATTTATTGACCATGACATGATCAGAGAAATGGCTGGAAGAGCAGCACCATCCACAGGGCCTGAGCAGGGCACTGGTACACATTGGGTACTTGGTTCATAGATGTCCCCTCAGACCTTACCCTTGAAGTCATAGATGTCTCACTGCACCCAGGTCTTCCATGCATTATTTGGCCCTACATATGGAACACTTTGGCTCCATCCCCTTGCTGACTAATGTCTTGATCATGTGGTCAGTATCAGGTTGTAGGAACAAATTTAACACACCAGGGGTAGAGAAAACTCTAACGCTTAACTTCATGAGTGTGTACCATGAACTACAATAGCAGACATAACCGTGGGATCCCCCTGTGGCCTCTCAGAATTGCACCAGGAACAAAGCAATGGTTGTTTTGTACATCACATAATCAATCTAATTGTTAGTTTCCTAAAATAAAGCCCTGTACCTGGATCACAGGTGGTAGCACATGAAGGTATTAGCTGAGCTCAGTGTGCAGGTTAAGATTTGTGAAATAGGAATACACTTCAATTTATTGTCACTAAGACCCCTATAATAAAAAGGCAGAACATGTCAGCTAAACAAATAAACAATTACCTTGTTTCTACCATTGAGTGAAGTGTTTGTAACAGGCTTCCCTGGTGTAGTTCCACACCTGGCTTGTTCATGTGTGTGATCTAAGCAAAAAAAAGTGATGATGTGAAGCAGCTGCCTTCCTTCTCGGCCTGTCTGTCACTACACACTATGCATTCATTGGCACGTCACCGTGCTTTCCTGTGCTCTCTGACCTGATCCTAGCACCTTCAGAACAGCATCTCTGCTAACCAACCCATGTGCATCACGTTTTCAGGATCATTTAAAGAGACCAGCGAAAGAAATATGGCCTAACAACTCCTTAGGAATGTTTTATTGTTGTTTTTCATCTCCCAGTATGACCTGGAATCTCAGAGAACCAGAGTTGTAGGAAAAGTCATGCAAAGTGTGTACTTACATCTACCATTGAGATTGTGTGTGTCCATGAATGAAAAGGCTTCGTCACAGTTGGTGCCTTGCTCGGCATAGCTCTTGTCCATGGAATTCACCATCACTGTCATTTCCTGCCGTGTGCTGCTCATTGTTTCCTTCCGCTTCTTGGCCAGTTTCCTTAGGACAAAGAATTCAATTATATAGATGTGCATGGGAACAGAAAAGGAAGCAGTGGCATGCGTAATGACCACTATTCATGAATAACAACTGAATTAATCACTTGTGAATTTATTTGTGTATCTTCTATATGTCAGAGACTCTGCTAGACTACATACATAAGAATGAAAAACATCTATTGCCTTCTCAAAAAATCCACAATGTAAAACAGTGTCTTTCTCTACACAAATTAAAATAATGATCTTTAATACATCCATCTGTTTATTGATAGTCTTCTAGACTTAATAGATTTTTACTAATTATTGTCTATATTGCCACATAGAATAGCAAAAAGAAGATTCTAGTAAATGTTGAGCAGGCAAAATGAAAATAATTTTGACTTATGATTGGGGTCAAAATATCATGTGCTGGACATGCACTGAATACACTCAAGCTGTACATCCCAGCCAGAATGTTTCCTCTCTAGGAACTCCTCAGGGTGCCCTTCTTCCCTAAAGGAAATATAAAGAAGGACAAAAACAGCAATTCCAGCCTTTGCATACTGCTCAGTGACAGACAGAAACTCACAATCCAATACTATGTTACTTATATGAAAGCCATAATAATCTAAAGTATATTAATATAATAAGCAGATAAAACACACATAAAACACAGAAGGTGGTTTTATGTCTCCAAGCTAGACAAGAATAGGGTTTGAGAAGCTCAAGGAAAAAGGATACAGTGGGAGGGTTTAAGTTCATGGCACTATTACACCATAAAGACTACCTACAATAATATTCAGGATCTGCCCAAGCACCTACTAGTCATGTCCAAAGAAATAATAGCAGCTATTTCTGTTAAATCATTTTGACACTGATTGACACTGAATGAGCTGTATAATCAACACTGCATCCAAATCAGGTGATCACTAATACATTGAAAGGTACTGCATTGTAAGACCATATAGATAATCTTCATTATCCTTTCCAATGGATACATAATCCAAATGTTTTCCTGCCTGTAGTTATACGCATCTTTTAATTTCATACTTTGAAGGCACAAGCGTTTCCTTGATATATTACCCTTTTAGTTGCAAAACATTGATAGAAAAAGAAAATACATTTTCAAATAGATGAGTAAAAATCACCTACAATGTCTCTGGTAGTGTACAACTTTAAAAGATTGGGAAAGATCAGTCAACCCATGGTTGCTGCGGGCACTGGCAACCCTCCCTCACATATGAAGACATGGTTGTTTTTCCCACAGGTTCCCTGTTCTTCAGTCAGGTATGCCAGTGTTGGAGCAAGAGACTGAGTCTGGATAGTCTCAGCAGGCGTTCTGGGCAAAGGCTCCAGAACAAACCCCAGATCCACAGCTGTGTTCCTAAGAATACATTTTCTCTCCACTTCTAACTGCCTGTTCCTGGAAAAAACACTCTCAAGCCAGGTCTCTCCAGGAGCCCTGAAGTGGAAGACTGAGATAATTACCTCCATAATTCAGGCAAAATGCTCACTTTCTGCTTGAGTTTCTTTGATTTGCTTTGGACTGATGGATGTAGGTAATTGTTTCAGTATTCTTTTTCTTCTTGTTATTCTGCCTATGGAGCCACAGTCAACTTTATTAGACATTCCCCTGCCTTTTATTCCTTAATTTCTCTATTTCTGAAGGTGAGGAAACAACAGATAATTTTGCAACAAATTCTTGCACTAGTGTTGGCAGGGCAGGAAGGGGTGTTGCAAGATAGGGGGCTTTTTTGCCCCAATAAAACCTATGCTTGAACTGGAAAAACATTTATCCATTTAAATCTTTTTTTTTTTTTGGGTCTGGTCATGGGGCCTGAACTCTGGGCCTGGGCGCTGTCCCTCAGCTCTTCAGATCAAGGCTAGCACTCTACCACTTGAGCCACAGTGCCACTTCCGACTTCTTTCTTTTTGCTTATGTGGTGCTGAGGAATCGAACCCAGGGCCTCATGCATGCAAGGCAAGCACTCTACCACTGAGCCACCTTCCCAGCCCCTCCATTTAAATCTTCAATATGCAAATTTCAGTGATGTCACATTAAACACTTTATTGCTGATCTTTAATCATAAAGGAACCTGGGTAAGTATCCATGGGTACATGATCAAATTAAACAGAGGTCAAGTCAGACCTGCCACCTTGAGCTCATATCCTTTAAGCCCCCTCCCCTTAAAAACTCAGCTGCATAGTCAACATATGGAATCAGCCTAGATACTCCTCAGTGATGAGTAGATCAAGAAAATATACACAATGGAATTCTATGCTTCCATCAGAAAGAATGATATCACCCCATTCATAGGGAAATGGAAAGACATGGAAAAAATTATACTATTATATCAAAATAAGGCAGACCCAAAGAAACATAGGTTGCATATTTTCCCTTATTTGTAAAAACTGGAATATGGCTGGATGCCGATGGCTCACCCCTGTAATCCTAGCTACTCAGGAGGCTGAGATCTGAGGATCGTGGTTCAAAGCCAGCCCAGTCAGGAAAGTCCGTGAGACTCTTATATCCAATAAACCACTCGAAAACCGGAAGTGGTGCTGTGGCTCAAGCGGTAGAGCACTTGCCTTGAGCTGAAGAGCTGAGGGACAGTGCTCAGGCCCAGAGTTCAAGCCCCATGACCGACAAAAAATGAATAAATAAATAACCCCCCCCCAAAAAACTGGACTGTGCCTATAAAGCTACAAATAAACCCAATGGATAATAAAAGATGAATAATTACACCTTAGCATGATTAATTAATCAGCAGTCTAAACATTCACACAGTGAGAACAGAGGATATTTTTTGGAGAAGATCATAAGGGCTCAATAACTATGTGCATAAGATGATATAAAATTATACTTATTGAAATGACTTCCAAGAAATTGAAGAGTTTTTTTATTACACTGTTTATGGTGGTCCTCCTCCTCTTCCTCTTCCTCCTCTTTCTCCTCCTTTTCCTTCTCTTTCTCCTTCTTCTTCCCTTTTTACTTTGGTTCATTCCCTCCCATCACTGTTTTTTTTTTCATTATCTACAGAGTTGTTATTTTCATTTTTAAGCATTTTTTTATTGTAAAAATGCCATACAGAGGGGAAAACTGTTTTTGATTTCTGTATCCTTTGTCTTGTATATAAGTTTATCTGATTTGGGGAGGGGAAGGGGAAGCGTAGAAACAGTGGGCCAAAGAGAACCAATTCAGTAGTGAAACTCATTAGACACTATGTTGGAAATGAACTATAACAACTTTGAGGGGAGGGAAGTCAGGGAGGGAAAAACTGGGAGAGAATGAGGGAGGGGACACTGTTCAAAAGGAAATGTACTCATTCCATGACTCTTGTAACTATAACCCCTCTTTATATCACCTTGACAATAAAAAAAATCAGCTCTCAATGGCTTCAGCAATTATTCTTGCATTAATTCCACCCTTCAACCACATTTTCCTCCCATCAGGTGTCCCAAATACAAATGCCTTGCAGTGCTAGCCATGACATGTGGGGGAAGGACAATGAGGAGTGGGAGACACTGGAGAAACTGAGGGAAATAGCAAGTTAACGCCAGCAGGTAGACACCCCAGGCAGATCTCATTCATGCCCAGTTTTAGGAAAAATCAGGAATCCACATTTTACGTCAACTTAATTTTTAAGTATTGTTAAATAACTGAAATTAAAAAACCAAACACTGTAGGGCTCACATAAAACATACTAGTTGGTACACTTACTTTCCATGAATAAGAGATAAGAAACTTAATTGTATTGGAGTAGAGACTAACACATTGCACAAGACCACTGCATGCCAGTACTCTGATCATGATATTATCTTTAATCTGAGCAACTATGTAAGAATTATTCTCCCTTCTCATTTTTCAGATGAGGAAATTAAGTTTCAGAGACATTAAAAAATGTGGAATTGAGATAACTTGGACTTTTACCATTCCAAAGATCATACAACAAAGTGATTTCTCTTGTAAAGTATTCCATCAATTTACATTTCCTTACAATTACATTATTACCTAATTATGTTACTTCAAAACTAAATATTATGTGTTGAGAAAAAGTTAGATTGAATTACTAGAGCCTGGCCAAGGAATTACACATTCACATAGTATCTAAGATTGAATTAGTCATCATCACATTAAAGCATTAGTAAACTGAGTTGATTAACAACTACTCGTGTTCAAAGTAGTTTGCACCATTAGGGAGGGTAAGTCATTGTTTGGAATCTCATTTGTTCTTTTTTTAATTTTATTGTAAAGGTGATATAGAGGGGGATTACAGTTACATAAGCAAGGTAATCAGTACATTTCTTATTGAACAGTGTTACCTCCTCCCTCATTTTCTCCCACTTCCCCCGCTTTCCTCCCTCCAGAAGTTGTAAAGTTCATTTCCAACATAATGTCTTATTAGTACTGCTGTTGCATTGGTCACCCCCTTTGTCCTTTGTCTCACCATTTCTGTGCTTTCCCTTCCCCAAATCAGATAAATATATACGACAAAGGATACCAGAATAAAAAACAAACATGACAACAGGATAAACCAAAGGGAAAAAAAAAAGGAAAAGAAAAAAAAGGCATAACTGAACACAGTACACCAAACAAAACAAAACAAAACAAAACTCATTTCCATATCTTGGAGTTCATTTTGATTACCATCATTTTATATGGTAATATGTATCCAGAATGACATCACTCATTCAGAAGGAAATAGAAGGAGTTGGAAAAAAATCATATGAAGTAAAATAAGCCAGACTTAAAGAAACATAGGCTCCATAGTTTCCCCTCATTTGTAATAATTAATATATATCTAGGATATTCTTTTTTATCTAGGATATTCTTAACAGAGGATCACAATAGCTCAATAGCTATGTACATATGACCATATAAAATGATGCTAATCGACCTCCTTTATTCTTAGATAAAACAAATATTCTTCTCCATGATTGCAGATGGTTGAAAAAGGTTATATTAAGAACTGAGGCTTGGTTATGACTATAGGTAAACTGGAATTTATTTTTCTTTTTCTC